TGCCAAGGCTGCACTCTTTCCCGCCCTCAAGCATAAGAGCGGGCTGAACTTGCTATCCAACATCTTTATCGGAGTGCTAAACCAGAGAAAGCTAAATGGCCAGATCTCGTCGCCTTCGACCTTCAAGCCGCCGCCGCGCGTTACCCTGACCGATACGAAGCGAGAAATGTGGCTGAGGGACTTGGCGAACCCATCGATATCGTTGCGCCGACTCAGCCGAACGATTCCCCACGGCATCAGAGGCAAAGTGCTGCTGGACCACTGCCTCAATAAGAACGTGCCGACAGAAAGAGCAGTCTGGCTGGTCAAGTGCGTCGGCGCCAATGAGATCCGAGCCTTCAAGAGAAAGGGAAACGGCCCGGGACCCTTTGTGCTCGGTGGCGAGGCAAAGTGGCTCAGAGACTGGACGGTTTTCGTGGAGCAATTTGTGGAAGGAGTCTCGACGGCCTTTGGGGATAACGACTGGAAAGCCAAGGTCCAATATGCGTAAGTCTACATTATGTGATACTCCATGGGTGTGAGCTAACCTTTCTATAGCATCCGACTCGCGACACATCTCTATGCGGAACAGCTACTCGACCGTGACCACTACATGGATTGGCTTGTATCCGGATTGGAGAACTCGACACAATCAAAGTTACCCATGTGGATTCTCACAACACAGATTTACTGGAAAGACCTGCTTCGTTTAAGAAGATATGGCCGACGATTAGTGAATGCGTTGCTCAGCCATCTCAACACGGTACGCCAGCTCAGACCCACAAGGAGTTCGCAACTAACTGTTCAGATTTATAACGATCCCGACCGCGATATCCTCACCCAACTCTCTACGAGGTTGACATCTCTACTGACACCCCTGTTGTCCGCCTACTCGGACAACTTCGTGTCTCCTGCGACTTGGTTCAAGTACAAAGACGCACTGCTCGCATCTATCCCGATCGATAACGACTTTGCTCAAAACGCATACAAGTGGATTAATGTCAGAAACGAGCAGCTAGTTGCATCAGCCAGCAACTCCCAGCCGGCAAACCGACAGATACTGGTCAAGCATCTCGACACCTCATTCATGTCTTTGTACAGCCCCGACTTGGCTACGCAGTGCTGGGCTGTTAGTGAAGACAAGGGAATGATAGTTCGCACATTATTGGAGTGGTGCACCTCGCCTCACCGACCAGGCACCGCAAAGGTGTACATCACTGCCAGTCTTCTTCGAGCTTGGGCGGCTGCTGGAGTGGATGTGACGACAGCGATTCTCGAGTTTCTTAGTGCAAACCCACCAACCGAGACGAGATCGAAGAGGGTTTTCCACCAGCTGGTGTCAGAAATCGTACGATCAGGAGACTTCCAACTTCAAGGATACATATTCTGGCTCATTGCCCGAGGCGGGCTGAGAGAACCGGCCGATACTGAGGCCGATGGATCTTGTGCTACAAGGCTGCTTGTCGACCTCCCTCTCCACGCCCTTAACTCTTCTGCCCAAGCCACACGAGCAAGTCTCCTACGACGAGCATCCTACGATGTCAACGACGAAGCCCAGGATATTAACACAGCTCTCAAATGCATTCAGCATGTTATGGGACTTCCTCTTCCGCCCGGAGATCCGATGCTCCAGCGGAAGCCCGTACCAGTCGGAAAGCTCTGCAGGCTGATTACCAACAGCAACCGGGCATTGCAAACCGAGGTTGGAGCGAGGCTGCTGCAAATATTCAACAAGGAAATAATGATGACCAAGAACGGCCCTCAGGTCTCTCCGGCTATGTTCAACTTCGCTCGCGCTGTTCTCGAGGCGGCCTCCGACTACTCGGTTCTCGTCGAGATTGTCAAGGTGGTGTCGAGAGCTTCGAACCCCGAGATTCTTGCCTCCTGCGCCGATACTTTCAATGTTCACCTGCCGATTTTTGCAGCGCTGGGCGTGGCCAAGGAACTGTTCGATGCGCTGATGGAAAGATTGAAGGCCGTTAGTGACGAGCAAGGACCTGCTGCCCGACCTCTCTTGGCGTCTCTGGCAAATCTTTCGACCCTGATACCCGGCTACACGAATACTGCTGTCTACTTGCGTCAGCAGCTCCACCAATGCGATCGCAATAACCCTATCGACGCATGCTCGCCCGTATCTGATAACATGACGGCGCAGCTACAGGACGCCGAGGGCGAACTACACGAAGAGATCGAGAAGCTTTTGACGAGCGGTACCAGCGTCGATCGGCCTACCATGGACCGACTTTTCCAGACCGTGGTCGGAAGGTTGGAATCTTGCTGGTTAAAGTCGGCGGACAGACAGCGTGCTTATAGCGCACTTCTCGGGAGGCTGCGCATTTTCGATGCTCAGCACTTTGACGTGCGCATGACCGACTGGGTCCACCACATCAGTGCGTTGAAGACTCGCCCTGCGCTCGAGAACATTTACCCCCTTCTCATCAGCATGGGCTGTCTGACCTTGCCCATTATCCTTACCACGACATCCGTCGAGGCAGGGAGGATCGGGCTCAACCCGTCGACGCCCCCTAACATCACCACGACTTACATGCAGGAAGTCCTGTCTCTAACGATGATGCCCCTTCCCGCCAAGACCGCATTAATACCCGAAGAGACTTACCGATTCTATATCCAACAACGAGTTGCACCACGTCAAAACCACAAGGATATGGTCTATCTTGTGAGGAATGCTCTCGTCGAGTTCTCGAGGCTGCAGGGAGTCGTCGAATCTTCGCTGCTGCCACTCGCAAACCCCGAAATCAAGGACACTGCGCTGCAACTGCTCAAGTTCTTGGTTCTGCGGGATCCTCCTTCGGTAGTGCAAGCGCTGGGTATCAAGAACCCAGAGCCTGCATTGACAAGTCTGTTTGCACAGATTACGACCAAACTCCTACTACCGGATGCTGGCGACGATTCACCACTGACGTTCGAGACGGTCCTGGAATTGGCAAATGAGTTTACTCTCCCATTCTGCCAGCTCAAACTTTCGGTTGGCCTCGCGGCGGATAGCACGACAAGCCCGGGAGGAGGCGAACAGGCTCTCACTCAGTTCGACATGTTTTCGAGGGCAATGGACCGCGCTGTGTCAGCCAACAACGTAATGTGGACTAGCATGCTACCCTACCTGAGCGAGGACATCACGGAGCATCTTAAGAAGCAGGCTCATCTGCGTTTCCTGGGTCTCTTCCCGTCAAACAAGAACCCACCTGCTGCGGATCCTCTTTCTCAAGAAAGCACTCAGCTCGCAGGAAGTCTGCTTTCAGTAGTCGAAGCGATTTTGAGAGGTCGTCCGCCTGTACGGACATCGCAGCTTACTTCGGGCATGGTTGAGAAGCTTGCAGAGCTGTGGGAAGTCCTGGCAACCGACGACATCAACAAGAGAGACCTGCGCGCTTCAATCCTCCGCTACTGGCTTCCCGCCTTGTTGCGGTTCATCACGCTCCACACGACTGCAAACGAACCTGCGCCGGTAGCGACTCAACCCCAGGCCGCCAATAACATGAAGCCGCCTGCCAACGCTGCTGTTTTTGAGATCCGGGCCAGAATCTTAATCGTTCTGTCTGGTCTTACTCTCGAATTGGACAACCTAGCATTCCAGGACGCTCAAAACGGCCGACCACTCGGCCAGCAGGTTTTCGATCTGGCCCTACTGCTAGTCGATACTTTACCAGACGACATACGCCTGCAGTGTGTGCGAGTCTTGCTTACAGGCGGCACCATGCAGAACCCAGCATCCTCCGATGCCCGTCTCCGATACCTATTCAGTCACATGCCTCCAACGACGGAGCAGTTTGTGCTTGCTCATAGACAGCAATCTACTACACAACCAAACGGGCCGCAGAGAATCAAGATGCCGATCTCGATGCAAGGCACCGATAAATTAACGCCGTTCATCTACCGCAAATGGGAGATGCTCAGCGAGCCCACTCCCAACGTTGGAGAAAACGATACGGCTCTTAGTCTCACATTGTTTGAGGCGATTAAGATTCAGTAAACAAATTGGAGGAAGCGTTGGGGATACACACACACACATACACACACAAACATTTCATTACTGTCATGCATACGTCGGAAGAAAGGCGGGGTGTTCATTTATAGATACCATTACTGGTCCAAATCGGGATTGTAGAATCAGGCAGGCGAGGAGGGGGAGCAACGAGAACAAAATCCTTTTTTTGATACCAGGATGGAAAGTCAATAGTCGGTCGGCGTCGGCTGGCTTGGAAAGATTGAAGGAGAGGGATGAAGGGGTGTCGACATGATTGTATTAGTGAGGCGGGCATCAGGGGGGTTTTTCCTTTTTCATCATCATGACAACAACATTATTATTTAAACGTGTTTATGACAGCCTTGTTCGTTGCAAACTGCGTGAGATTGTGACATGCTTGCGGCAACGCAATGGCTCCAAATTATGACGCTTCAGGTATTCAACATAAAAGCAGCACCCCCCTAAAACATTCCGAGATGTTCTTACTGGGCATAGGACTAATGCTGGAGATATCGAAGCACCAAAATTAGCATGAGTTCCGAACTAGTATGTATTCCAGCAAGTTGTCGTGGAACGTGTTACAAGCAAGCGCTATCTAGCGTTCGCCAAGATGTGATCGTCCCTTGCCAATCTTCTAAACGACGCTTTAGGTTATGTAACTTGTGCTTGTCTTTTGTTGGTATACACGTCAGTAGGGCAAGGCCTCTCGGCCGGTACGAATTCCAACGAGCGTATATCGACTGCGTAATGGAGATATGGATAGAAGGAATGGGTGCACTGAGCCCACGATTCCTCCGTTGGGTGTAAGTAGGTGGAAGGGTCGTTTGCACAGGCCCGACTACCTTTCGAATCCCTCTGCCCGTCAAGATTCCAACACAAACCCAGCATTTCTGCCTAATATTCGAAGAGTTTTCTTCGGAGAGTTTGGGTCACTGTGATGGTTTTGGAAGACGGAACAGCGAGGCTTCCAAACGAGATCGCATTTTAGTCAAAGGTGAAGTTCTTCTGAGCACAGCACCCCTAGAATTCCGCTGCACTAAAAGTACTGCTTCTGGTGGTTCAAATTCAACCTTTTTTCCCCTTCAGGCTCTCCAAACATCAACTGCACTTTGAGATCGCTATCCGCTCCAGCCCAAACGGTCTTCTCCCAGGCCTTGCTAGATGTGGCGCCTGCCCCAGCATCTACCAGATCCTCGTCCTCCGGAACCGGCGTTCTCAGTGCGAGAAGTATTAGGTCCTGCAAGTCTGACCAGGGTATAATACTCAAGACACGTATTGGCTTTTCGCCCACCTTGATTTCAAAGAGCTCGGCTAGACTCATGCAACCTATACACAAACCATAGGTTGCGATGATGCCCAGATAAATGAACATGACGGCTTGAGCCCATAGCAGCGTGGGACGTTTTTGACCGGACCCGTATCCATGCCGCTGGGTGGTCAAATGAATATGTAATTCATTTTTGGTGAAATCTTCCAAAGTTCCATTCTTCTTGTCGGTCCGATTGTTCCATTTGTCTAGATAGAACCCCGTATCGTTGGAAGCTGTTAACACGTGCCTGCCGCCACGGTTTCCGTACTTCTGATCGAGGTCTATATATTCGAGTTGATCCTTGATGTTCTTCAATACCAGACGTGTACTTCTGTATGGATATGTGCTCCGGGACAATCCTTCAGTGAGATAGACCCCAAAGACTTTTGCTAAGAATATCTCAGCTGCGGTATCGTTATCCTTGCTGGGTGCCATCGCCGGTAATGTGGTGCCATTCTGCTTCTCTTTAGAAGAAAAGTTCTGGACAAGGCGATTCACTGCCGGTAATGTGCCGTTCACACCTGGATTGAGTGCCTCGAACCAACGTTTATGAAACCTAAAAGTCTTCGCGTCTTCGAAACTTTTGTTGTGGAACAAGTCCCTCATGTGACTTTTGTTACTGAGCGATGATTGCAATGCATCGCTAAAGCTAGCATCCACAGAGAAATTCGACCGAATCCAGCTTGCGTGTAAGTTGCACAGAAAGATAATGGCTTTCGGCTTTCCGAATAAAGCATCAGGAATTTGCCCATCTATAAATACAGTAGGATCATTGGGTTGCCACACGAAAAATGTGCTGGAAACTGACTGGTTGTCAAATTTGTGGTCTGTCAGCCAATTTTTGCCGAACTTGGGTCTGCCAGCTTGGATCTTTTTGCAAAGGTTGTCACCGAAGCAATTAAGGGATTGAACAGGATAATAAACAGGATTTTTGTCCTCAATCAATGCATCCTTGTCGTGAATTGTGCATTTGGATTGTATCAATGCCTGGTACAGTATCGACTCATTCTGTGACGCTGATTCGCTAGGGTTCCTGGTCACAGTTTGAAGGCGGTATCTGGGTTCCTTAGATAACTGACCAACATCTGAGCTATCGATGTACTTCTGTAAAAGGCCCATACTACCTGTGAGGAAATGCAGAGGGCTAGTGCAGAGAGTGACCGAGCTGGTGTCCTGGGTGTAGTTGGCCTGGGTGAAAACGAGTTGCCTCCGTAATTCAGCGGACGGAGAATGAAACGTAAGGTTGTTCGTCAAGTCCGTAGCAGCGTAGTCTAGGAGCCAGCTTGATATCTCTGAATATCCTCCAGCGGGACAGTAAGGGAGGTATATGCCTTCGACTCCGTCGCATATATCAGGCGCATCGAGGCGAGCCGGGAGCCAAACATTATCCTTATTCCATGCGTATACAAGCGGAAGCTTGACTTTACTGAAAGCCACAGAAGCATCGATGTTATACCAAGCAAGCGTTGGTACTAATAAAACAGCAGAAGCAGGCCCAACTATGGTTGACATGAGTGTGGCAAACACAACGAAGGCAGGCAAAAGAATTCCCCAGGGGTTCGACAAGTCAATACCCTGACGCCAGAATGCTGTGGATCCAATGTACGCAAGGTCTCCAATCCGGTAGCTACCTGTTAAGAACCCTAAGCCAACGCTCTGGGTAACTAAACATCGACGGAACATAGCTAGAGCTAACGAGGACATCGATGCGATAATGAGAAGCTCGTGTATCTTGGCTACAAGTTGTAAAACGTTGCTGATGGTATCAGCATCGATGCGGTAGTCCCTGATGAGAGGTCCATTTTCGGGATACCAATAGAAGTCTCGAGAGCCAATGACAACAATGGCTATGGTCATGAACAAGGCAGGTGCATGGATGAGCCACCCATGACCGTACTGGGCCCAGCGGCTTCTCGTGATGTGTTTTGCTTTCGGTGAGCGATGGCTTGCTTCTGAATTCCTCGAAACATTGTCCGGTTGGGCTTCGGATCTACTCGGTTGAGACTCTAAGGTAGAGTACGATGGCTGTTCCGTTGATCCAGCTTCCGGTAAGCGATGGTTTGCTTCTGAATTGATGGGAACATTCTCCGATTGGGCTTCCGGGACACTCGGTTGAGGTTCTGAAGCAGAGTGCGATGGCTGTTCCGTTGATCCTCCGGGCTGATAAGAGTCGCTTTCTTCCCTAGTCGCCGGACTGTGGTCGACGGGATCGATGTTCTCATGAGATGTTGACTCGCCCGAACGCAGTAAACTCATCCCCAATTCTGTGTCTTCTTTCTGTCGACTACCCGCAGTTGGAAAAAGGGGAGTCAGGAAGTCTTTGACAGAACCCAGTGCCGAGGAAAACCGTGGCTCTTGTACTGGGAATGTATGGCGGTGATGTGTCCTCCGACGACGTAGCGAGTCAAGTTCATTGTCCATGGCGGGCGATATGGATTACAGCTACGTGAAAGCTCGTGTCTCAATAATAATCTGGTTGCGAAATGAGGAGTAAGACAAGAAATAAGCGGGCACGTATATGTAGACAGTGGTCAAGGGGAAAGGTTGATCAACCTCGCAATTTTTTGGAAGATGAGTATGCTTTTCAAAAGCTTCACGCAAAGAACAGCACCGATTCACATCGATTCATTCATTGGCTAGGCCTCCCTCATAAAGTGCTAATGCGGTCACAATGTGGCTGGCAGCATTACATCAACCGACAACACCACGCCGTGCTATTGGGCATTTATACGAGTTTTCTGCTGCGACTGCTACCCTCACCACATTTTATGTGCTAAGGGACAGAGACATGTCTCTGTAGGTGACAAGAAGCGGAAATATCAAATCATATGGTGAAATGATAAAAAGGCTCCCGAACACCCCCCCCCCCCCCAACTTAACAAGACTTAGGATTCCCATGATGTCTGTTTGCTATCTTTGGTGAATGAAAGTCAACAGCTTTGAAGACATCTTAATCAATCATTCTGATTGTAAACCACAAGCTTCGATTGAGATGGAGGACGAAAATTTCCAGCGCCAGCTGTTGATGCATTGAGATTTCCATGATTGGCTGCCTGATCTGAGGTTGGATGTGGTTGCGCAAGTGCTGACGAGTACCTCCCTATAGGTCAGTTAGGAAAGCTGATTCGGAAGTTTCATGCAGCTATTGCTGACCATACATAATACTTTATCCTGTCCTTCGAACCCAACGCAATATGTCATTGTTTGCCAAGAGGGCTTGACAAATGAAAGGCAGCAAAGCCCCTCTTGTGGCGTGAGAATTTTAGAGGAGCGGAAGTATCCTGCCAACTCAGCCTGCCTTGAAGTGGCATGCGTCCGGTTTGCAATCACGACATCCTTTTGATACGCCAGCGTTGCACTAACAGCGGGTGCCCGTGAGATGATGTGAAGCAGAGACGTGTGGATGTGTAGATGGATGTTTGAGAAGGCTGGGCAGCTTAGGTAATTACAGGCCATCATGGTTCAAACTGATTGAATAGTGTCTGTACTCCGTATACCTTCCTAATAACACGCACTAACATGCTCAAGTCTAGGAGCCGAAATCCTATACTGTCGGATTAGAAGTCCAATTCGACCTCGTAGCAGCGCAGGGGCCACATATCGACCATATAATTAATTATTACGGCCTACCTAACCTACGGTTAGAACCTCCTTTCTATATATACGCAATAAAATTATATAGTTAATTAACCTATTACTACGTTAACCTACGGTTCGAACTAATCAACTAATATTCCTATAATAGGGATACTAATATTAATTAATAATTAATTTCTATTATCATAAATTAATAAGGCATCTTATATATAAATAAAACGACTTTTTTAAATAAAACGTAATAAGAAAATCGTATTATCTAGCCTTATAAAAAATAGGCATAAGAAATAAATCTTTATAACAAAAACAAAATAAAAATCGTAGTATAACTACTTATAAAAGTTAATATTTATAAAAGTTAATATTTATTACGTTAAAATAACCCCGCTAATTAATAAAAGTATTAAAGTAACTGAGCTACTATTATTAACCTTATATAACTTTTTATTACCCAATTTTATTATAGCTAGTCCGTAATTAAAAAAATAACCCTTATAATAAAAAGAATTACTTATACAATAATTACTTACTTAATTAACCTACATAATAAATAAGCCCTATTATATAATATAAAAAATATTATACGAATAATAAAAAGAAGATTTTTAAGGTATAGAGGATAGTCAGATTCTACTTTCTACTTTTTATTAGTATTTAATTTTATATAAAAATTACGAAATAAGAGGTTTATTATTATAAAGATTTTACGAATATAATATCGAGGCCCGTAATTTAAATAATCCCCTTATAACCCCCTTAACTACCCCTAAAGTATTATTATAGAATACTATATAAGAAACGTTACGAAAAAGAAAGAGGGGATTTAGAAATTATAATAACTACGGAGCTTAGTAATCGCAAGACTTTAAAATAAATTAACTAACTTTTTAATATTAACGTTTTAAATATTCTCTTAATCCTTAATAAAATTAAAAAAAAAGCTATAACAGCCGCTAAAAAAAAAAAAAAAAATCCTTTAGAGGGCTTCTAAAGAGCTCTTTTTATATTACTATTTTACAGAACAAAATTACTAATTTTAAAAAAATAAAAAGCAAAACATTAACTAGTAATAATTTATTTAACATACGTATATACCTCTTAGGTTTTAACTTAGAGAGAAATACTACGTAATTAAGACGTTATTAAGCTACTTATAAATCTATTTCTAATACTAATTAATTAAGGAGGTAAAAAAATTATAAAAAAATAGTAAATAGCTATATTAACTAGAACTAATACTAATAAAATAAGATATAAAAAGTAAAAAAACGGAAAGCTCCTAGACCTTAATAAATCTAATAAATAATAATAACGCATTAATACCATAACTAACGAATAGTTTTAAAATAACTCTATTAAAATTAAATACGCTAGCTCTAATAAATAAGAATACGAACTAGGTATAATAAAAATAAGTTAGTATACAGTTTAAAAAAATCCCTATTTTAAATAATTAGATCGTAATTAACCCAGAGTACTAAGAGACGTAGGTATATAAAAAAATTAATAACCCTAATAGCAAGTAAATTAATATAATATTAATATATATTATAAAAATTTACGCTTAGAAAGGACTTAAGGAGTAACCCCTATTTTATAAAATTATTAACAACCTAAGTAACTAAAAAGACAAGTAATTCGCTAGTACTAATCTAAACGTTATAAAAAAAGTTAATAAATTCCTCTATTACCAAAGCATTTTACTAGTACAAAGGGTAAGACAAAAAGCTCACGAAACGCTTATTATAATAGTTATTACTAACGAATTTATACTATAAGATTAGTACTAAGTCAATAAAGTAATATTAAAATATAACGAGTTTAGTAAAAAGGTAAACTAACCAAACTTTTTATTAAAAATTACTAATAGTAATATATTAGTACTAGCCGTAGTACGGGCTAAGGGGATTACTCCTAATAAGTAACTAATAATAATTTTACTAATTTCTATAACTAGCTTAGTAATACTATTAATACGCAGCCTATTACTAACTAACTAACAAAATATAAAATTAATTACATAAAATTAATATAATTACTCTAATTAATAAAAATTTATAAAAAAGCGACCTAATAATAATAAGTACACAGTAATTTATAGACCTTATAAAAATATTTCTTAAAAAAATATACTTAGGGAAATATAAGGTTTTATAAAAACCTTTACAATATTTTTCAACTATTATAAAAAATTAGTATTAGAGAGTAGTAATACTACTTAGTAATTAACGTTATATTAACTAATAAAGTTACAGAATATTATTATAAAGCGGTGCGTATATATAATCGAACTAACTTTCTTAGTATTATTAACATAATCTAAAACTATTTCAAGACTTATAATAAGAATTTAAAGCTCCTATCTAAACTAAGGGCACTCTTATTTAGATTTATAGCTAGAACAATAAAAAAAAAATCGAAGCTCAAGATCCTTAAAAAACTTATTAACCATATTAATAAACTAATAAAAATATAACTAAATAAGGGGATTAATAAGTAAAAAGTCAGATATTTTTATACCACAATACAAAAAATCCTAAAAATAAAAATAACTCTATACTAACTACCTAATAATTATAAAACGCTCTACTCAAAACTAAGATCTAGCTTTAATATCGAGGCCTAAATACCTTACTAAGCACATTTCTAATTTTATAACAGCCCTTATTAATAATATTAAGTTAACTATACGTACCAAAGTAAAAGATAAGAGGCTAAGTATAGTAGCTACTAAGCTAGAGAGGTAAACTTTTTAATTAGTTACTAATTTAATTTAAAATAAAAGTAATAAAAAAAAATATTTTATATATAAAAAGGACAGCTATTAATTAAGTAATTATACTAAAGAAGAGTATACTAAATTATATAAGTAGTATAAAAAAGTAAGGGGAACGCAGAGCAAAACGAGTAATAACTAATTTTACTACTTCCTTATTATTTATAAGAGGTAATAAATAGAGAGGGCGGATAGTACTACTAAAATAGGTTATACTAAGAGGCGTTAAAAAAATAATAAGGATTTAACCCTATATATAAAGGGAATTAATAATAACGAATTTAATAATCTTAACTATTCTTTTTTTACCCCGTTAGCTACTAAAAGATATACTATACTAAACGAACGAGGGGTAATACGAGCTCTTAATAAATAAGCCTTTTTATATAGTTATAATAAGGAAATCCTTTAAAGAATAGGTCCACTAAATACTATAATACTTAGTTTAGGAAATATCATACTTAGCACCTAAAAAGTTACTAATAAAGATCTTATTAAAAAAAGGGGAATAATAAAAAGGCTAGGAGCTCTTTTTTTATATTTTTCAGAGGGACTAATTAATAATACTACTTAGGTATTCTATACTAGCAAGCAGTATAGCTTAAAAATCTTTTATAAAATTATCCCGGATATAGGGGCATTATAATAATTAACTAAAAGCAAGGGGTAATTCTAAGCGCTCTAAAAAATATCCCTAGTTATATTAAACATATTAATAGCGAGCATTACAAAAATTAGCTTTAACCTAAGTAAAAAGATATATACCCTAAGTATAATAAAAGTTATTATACGCTTTAGTACAATAATCTTTTATATCCTTTTTATTAATATACTATTCTTATTATACCTAAAAAATATAAATAAGTTAGGGATCGTATTTAATAATACGAAGAATTAACTATTTAATAACTAGTTTTTCGAGCTCGTTAAACAATAATAAGGATACGCGTTTATAAAGCTCGAATTAAATATTAAATCTATTAACTATCTTATAAAGGGCGAGCTTAAGTAATTATATAAACGCTTTAGCTACCCGTTAGTTACGAAG